GAAGCCTGCAGCCAAAGATAGAATATTTCCTGAACAGCGAGTGTACCTTCTGATTCTGCTTTGGAAGCCTTCCTCTCAGCGGTGTACTCACCCTGTGAGGTGATGGGGTGTCAGACTTGCCCTCTAAAGTGGGGGGGATGTCTCCCAGTTAGGCTTAACCCAGGGGTCAGGGACCCCAACTTGACAAGGGAGTCCGTCCCCGTTCCTCAGATCTCAACCCTTCCGTTGGGAGATCCCACTGCTCTCCTCAAGCCCGTCGACAGAGTCGTTTGCGTCTGCAGAGGTTTTCCTGCTGCCTTTGTTATTGTTTGCTGTGCCTGTCCCAGAGTGGAAGTCTACAGAGACAGGTAGTTTCTTTGCAGCCTGCTGTGGAAGCTCCACCCCAGTTCCCAGCTCCCAGCGCTTGGTTTACCTACTTAAAGCCTCAGCAAATGGCGGGCGCCTCCAGCCTCGGGCTGGCTGCCTGCCGGTAGATCCAGAACTGCTGTGCTTAGCCAAATGAGGAGGGGCCCGTGGACGTGGGACCCCTCCCGCCAGGTGTTGGGATATGATCTCCTGGTGTCCTGTTTCCGCTAAGCGCAGTATTTTGGGGTGGGAGTTTACCCGATTTTCCAGTGTTTGTATCTCCGTTCCCTGTCTAGCGAAAAGGATTCCCTTCCCTTGCGCTCCCCAGGTGAGGCGATGCCCTCCGCCCTGCTCAGCTCCTCTGGTCGGGATGCAGGCAGCTGACCAGCACCGATCGTCCGGCACTCCCCAGTGAGATGAACCCAGTACCTCAGTTGAAAATGCAGAAATCACTGGTCTTCTGTGTTGCTCGCTCTGGGAGTTGGAGACTGGAGCTGTTCCTATTCGGCCATCTTGCTCTGCCCCCCAATATTACAATTTTAAATCTTTGCTTATTGATAGGATTAATTATATGCATATTACTATATGACATTCTCATAAAATGAATTTAGGCATGCCTCATGACTTCTTATGTTGCTCAACACTGTCCTCTGGTTTTGTTCATCTCTATATTTACCATCATCTTTTCAATCTTATGATGATCCCAATGATGATGTCAATGGTAATAATAATGACAATGATAACTAACCTTTGATGACTACTGTTTTCCGTATGTACACGCACTCTTGAGGGGCAGTAGAAAGTGAATAGATTTGCTAATAACAAGACCTACTTTTGAATCCTGGCTCTCCTTACTACCACTTGATGATTTTGGCAAAGTCATGTCTTTTCCGTGTCTCAGTTTCTCTTCTCTAAGATAGTGAGATAGAGACTGACAAGGAGCATCGTTTGGGAATCACATGAGATAATGCAGGTAAGATACTTCGTAGAACAGCTGGTGGTCTGTGAGTGCTAGTTTCTTTCCTTCCTCAAGAATGTTGTCAGTTAAAGTATCTAGTATAATGATTGTGTGAATACCAAAGAAATACTATTTAAAGTTGAAAATCTCATGAAAATAAGTGTGGGATAGCAGAAAAATCTCAGACTCTGGACTAGAAGACAAAGGTTAGATATAACTGCCTGTTTCCAGTTGTGCCTCATGTAAATGCAGGTGACAAAATGCATTTTATTAGCTGGTTGTAACTCTTAAATGTTAGAGATAGGAAACAGAATTGACTTATTTTTCTAAGCTTCGGAGAAAATGTACGACAAACATTTAAAATAGTGCTTAGTACTCTTCTTTTTTATGATAACTTATATTGGTAAAAAAGTTTTCTTAAACTATAAAAGAAAAAGAGAAAAACTAGTATTATCTACCTAGAAAACAATCCCAATGTAGTTCCACCTACTCCTGCAATGAAAATGTTGAGGATGTCCTGAAAATTATTTAAATATGCAGACACTTAGTGTCAGCTTTATATAGGTAGAAGGAAGAGGATTCAAAGTCACCATGTTATAATTATGGTTGTTTAAATAGACTTGCTTTTTTGTGGGTTTTTTTTGTTTTTTGTTTTTTTTTTTGCAAATGTGAGTGTTCTCTTTTAAGGAAGGCTGAGTGGCTCAGATCATTCAGATTTGCAGTAATCAACATAATTTGACTTTAGCAGAATAGGAAATGCAAAGCAACTGGTTTTAGCTTTCACAGTATGATCCTACAAGCGCTGCATGCAAAGACTAAACAGGTAATGGAAAACCAAGAGACTCTATTTTTTCTCATCCTTCCACCTTTTTCATTCTCTGCTAGACAATCCCCTGTGGTAGAAAAAAAAAAGCAAAACAGAAAACTAACTTAAACTCTACCTTTTCCCAGAGCGAAGCAGGTCAAAGCCTTCATTTATTTTTTCAAAAGGTAAAACATGGGTTATTAAAGCATCCAGTGAAAACTTCTTAGCCATAAAATCAGTCACAAGTTTTGGGATATCTTCTTTACTCTTAAAGCCTGAAAAGAAGACAGTATCATTGTTGGATTTGACCAGCGTCAGTAGAAGAATTGAAGAGATTTTCCAAATAAATGAAAATTTAGAATAGGTGCTTCATTCCAGACTGCTATAACTGAGGATAAGAAGAGATAGAGTACTTCAATATGCTTTTATGGTGCCTTGACTTAAAAAAAACACACACACACAGATAAACAAAGTTTCTTAGTTCTTTTGTCTCTCACATAGAAATAATAGTATAGATATTTATGCCCAAAGTAGAGGAGCAAATTTATCAGTTGTCTAAATTTGGGCATAGATATGAA